GTTACGGGAACGCTTCTTTAGCCGCCTGAAAAAGTATTAAATAGTCTTTTATCAGGTGGTAATAAGGTGAGAGCCTATAATGATTGGGTCATACCAGTTCTAACTTACTCTTTTGGCATACTTAGATGGACTCAGACTGAACTAGATACCCTGGATAGAAGAGTTCGTACATTGCTTACTGTATACCGAATGCATCATCCACGTTCATCGGTGATGAGGTTATATATTCCACGAAAATGTGATGGTCGTGGTTATCTAAATGCCAAGACCCTCCACAATCGTGAGATATGTAACCTTAGGAATTACTTCCTGTCTGTTGATGTGGATATGCATAGGGATGTAGTAGCAGTTGATAACGGACTCACTCCGCTTGGTCTAGGTAAAGAGAACTGGCGCAAATTTGCAGTACTCAACATTACTGATCGTAAGGAGATATGGAAGGGCAAAGAGCTGCATGGACGTTTTTATCGAGCTTTGAACAGGCCTGAGGTGGATCAACTAGCGTCTGTATTCTGCCTTCGATTCGGTTACCTCTTCGGGGAAACTGAAGGTTTTGTCTTTGCAATTACTGATGAAGTTGTTATGACGAATAATTATCGGAAGTATATCCTGAAGGACGGCACAATAGACATTTGTCGGGCATGTCATTGTCCTGGTGAAAGCCTTAGACATATAATTTCCGGTTGTTCTCGTCTTGCCAACGGCGAGTACTTGCATAGACATAACCAAGTGGCCAGGATTGTCCATCAGCAACTTGCTCTTAAGTATAACCTTGTGACTGTAGAGTTACCGTACTACAAATATGTGCCCGACCCAGTTCTTGAAAATGGTCGTGCAACGTTGTACTGGGATCGCCCTATTATCACTGACAGGACTATAGTTGCCAATAAACCTGATATAGTGGTAATAGACCGATTGGAGCGCCGAGCAATGATTGTTGACATTACCATTCCACATGACGACAATCTCTTGAAAGCTGAAAAAGATAAACAAGTGAAGTATTTGGATTTAGCCCACGAGATTGTCGGCATGTGGGATGTTGATTCGGCAATCGTTGTACCGATAGTCATATCGGCCCATAGATTAGTTGCTAAGAGCCTCGACCAACATCTTCAGAGGCTCGCGTTAGGCAGTTGGATTAAGGGTCTGATGCAGAAAGCAGTTCTTCTCGATACGGCACGTATTGTGAGGAAGTTTCTGTCTCTGGAGTCCTAACCACCGATATCTTGGTCTCTGTACCCGATACCGATGGGATACTATTTTTTATATTTTTAAATGTATTTTATTTTTTGTTTTTGTTTATAAATATATTTAAAAATGTAATTTATATGTATAAAGAATGAAATAAAGAAATAATAATAAAATAAAGTCATATCGGCCCATGGATTAGTTGCTAAGAGCCTCGACCAACATCTTCAGAGGCTTGCGTTAGGCAGTTGGATTAAGGGTCTGATGCAGAAAGCAGTTCTTCTCGATACGGCACGTATTGTGAGGAAGTTTCTGTCTCTGGAGTCCTAACCACCGATATCTTGGTCTCGGTACCCGATACCGATGGGATACTATTTTTTTATATTTTTAAATGTCTTTTTTTTGTTTTTGTATATAAATATATTTAAAAATGTAATTTATATGTATAAATGATGAAATAAAGATAATAATAAGAATATTCTACCACATACACACAACGCCATCTAGTCCCAAACTAAGCAGAGCTTGAACTATGGGTACTAGACAACTGATATAGATACATATATACTTTTTTTTTGTAAATACATACATATTATACATAGAAACACCCAGACCAAATCAAACATCAAATGTTCATGCACACAAATGTTTGACTTGAGCGGGAATCGAACCCGCGACCTTTGGAATAGCAGTCCGTTACACAAACCACTACGCCATCCAGTCGACAAATAATGTGTATGTAGTTTATTAAATAAAGTTCGTAGTCAGACGTTATGTAAAATACGGAAAATAACACAAAGTAAACAACCACAGAACTGATAATACATTTGTTACGAAAAATAAACTGCGCAGATCGAATTTACAACTAGAACATAATGAGAGCAATATAAAATAGTTAAAATGGGAAACAGTTCCACTTAAACGAACTAAAAATACTCCAATCTGACTACTACTTACTAAATAAGCTAATTGCCTGTTTTAACAAGTACTTAATATAAGTACTTATTTCTGAGTGGGCTGGTGTTCTAAAATACAGGCCTTTGCTTAGTTTAAGACTCCAATCTCCCATAAATAGCAATAAAAATTATTCATACTAATACATATGTATAATAAAAATCATTTATTTCGGAAAATTCCATTATTATATCATTGTTATCAATATTATCATGAAGGTTAAAAATATGGTACTAATAAAAGTGGAATTAAGACGCTTGGGATTAAATTTTAAAATAAACAGACTATTACAAATACTTAGAAATGTAAGGTGTGTGTTTTGCTTTATTTTCTTTCTGTAACAATTTTTTTTTTTGAACATCAATCGTTTGACCGCTTCAAGCACTACGCATTATTCGTATTGATATCACCATCAGAGGATCCCCCGGTAGTAAGATCAAACTCAAAAAAAAGTTTATATTTTGTACAAAACATCCTTATCCATCCATACGTGTGGTGACGGATTAAGAATACAGAGTGTCACCACCCCTATTCATCCCGCGGGTGTCGTAAGAGGCGACTAAGGGAGCAAACTACGCAGGACAACAGCACTGCAAAGAGAAGGAAATCTTGACACAAACCCTATACCAACCCGTTTGGCCAGCGTGGTATAGTAGGCCAAAAACCTCCTTACTAAGGAGAGGCCTATGTCCAGCAGTGGACTGTTAAAGGCACTTGATGTGATGTGATGACCTGTACGATATACTCGTATATGAGTAATGAATTGTGTGAGTTTAAATTTCTTCATTAACTCGTCGGCGACTATTCGGCAAAGAGCACCGACTAGTCAGCCTTTTTACATCCGACTAATCGGCTAGGCGGCCAAAGTCATGGTCGGCACATCTCTAGTAATAATCATAATGATATGGTAACTACTCAGAGGTAAGACACCATTTGTAGATATATTATTCATTAATTTGATGTTCTTATGTATAAAATAAAAAAGAGTTTAGTCTATTATATTTTAGTAACCAAAACTTAGTACTAGTAACATATAGAACTTTGTATATAGTGAAATTCACTGAGTATATTTATATCTTTTAACAGACAGCTTAAACTTAATGACAATATACGGTGATAAATGTTAAGGTAGGTTTAGTTAACTATAGAATATGTGTTTTCTTAAACTTAATGAAAAGTTCTGAGGTAACAAATTAAAAAAAAAAAAATACAGTCGAATTGAGAACCTCCTCCTTTTTTTGAAGTCGGTTAAAAAAATATTTTCACATTAGATGACGTTTTGTTAGCCTATTTCTGATGAGGTTTACCAAAACTGTAATTATACTCACAACACAACAAAGCATATTCACGAATTAAAACTAGACTTGTAAGCATTAAAATCGAAATAAAAACAACAAATACGATTTTTTTAATTGTTTAAAATAAAATCATATTCTATGGAATTTCTAAACTTATTACTTATTCTATAATTTGTTCACAACTTACAAAATAGTTACAGTTAGTTATTAAATTCTAAAACGGCGACATTCTGACGAAAGTTGAAATGAAAAACATTAATTAAAAGAAATTGCTCGCAAAAAATTGATTTTCATTTTTGTAACAAATGTGGTTACTGCCTAATCATTTCCATAGAAGAATTATGATTAGGCTACTGAAGATAAATCTAAAGTTTTTACATTATAGTCATCAGCAGAATAGATTTTGCGCCGTTTTAAATTAGCTAGCTTTTGCCCTCGGCTCCGCCTTCGTGTATGTTGGTTATCGCGATAAAAGATAGGCTATTTTACTCGCTGATAATGAAGCTTACCACGGATGAAAGAATTTTTAAAATCGGTTTAATAGTTTAGGCGTGAAAGCGTAACAAACAAACAAACTAACTTTCACATTTACAATATAAGTATGGATTAACTTATAAAAAACTATGATCGACTTTCCATTATATTTAAAAAAAATGATTTAAAATCGGTTCATAAATGTTGGGATTCTGACCTAACAAAAACAGAAAAAATGTCGTTCCATAAATGAGTTAAGATCCAACAAACATAAAAATACGACCGAGAACCTTCTCTTTTTTAAGTCTGTTAAAGTACAACCTATTAATAAAAATGCAAAGCAGAGATGATGGTCATTGAGGAGCTCTTCCAATCATTCCCTTTGTAACGAGAAAAAGTTGTTCAGCAACCATATTGAAGAACGCGATATGAGAAATACTTAGTATTGAGAAGTTTCGTAGTTATTCTGGTCTTTATCATCAGTTTTACTTCACCAAATAGTGTATTTGCAGATAACGGACGAGGTACGAGTACTATAAAAATAAATTATATATAAAATTTGAAAGTCCCTCCTTTCTTTAGGATCCTATAATTAATCTTGATCTTATTGATATGGGACCAACTAGAAAGTATAACCTTTTCAATAAAACTAGAATATTTTAAATCAGCCCATCCATCTTTGAGTAATCAGACAACATATAAAAAACGCTAGGTATTGAGAATCGCCTCGTTTCTTTTTTGAACTGGATTGAAAATTTACCAACAAAGTTAATACTTATTTTCTTCATTTTTTCAGAAAAATACTCAAATCAATAAAAAGTGTTTCTATGATAGCTCTTCTTCTCTACTTCTTTTAATGAACCATAATTTCTTAATTTACTTTTCAATATATTTACAAACTGATTTCTTGAAATAATTTTTGTCTTTCCAATTGTTTGATATAATAAAATATCCTTAGTTATGGTTCAACTTATGTGATATTTATAACAGGATATTTAGCTTGAGTTTAAGAGAAAACTAAAAATATTTCATCTGATCTGTTACTTTCACGTACGTGGAAAAACGAACTCCATTCCATCATCTGTCTCATTCTCTGTAAACAAAATATATTTATTAACATCATTTTTAAACCACAGTAGTAATAAATAAATAAACGAATTATGCATTTTCAATTGGATTTCAATACGAAATCTTTATAAAAGCGATTTAGATTACTAAAAAGGATCGTTACGGTAATAATATTTCTGTCGAAGACGATTCGCCGTAACCGCTATCAGCATCATCATCTTCATAGTCGAGCGCAGGGTTTAGACTATAGGGGTGCTCTGCCAAATAAGCTACTACACGTGCTGCAGTAGGACGTTTATCTGGCTCACGCTGCCAACACAACTGCGCCAAAGCGATTCTGTAATTTATTTATAAGTTTTACTTTATTTTTTACATCTCAGTACATGCACAAGCTCTTATAGACTATACTTACGTTTGTGGAGTAGCGTCCCGTGGCATCGATGGTTTACCACCTGATGTAACAAAACGCATTACACGTAGAGGCGATATATTACCATATGGACGAGCGCCAAGAGTTACTAGCTCATAAAAGAGTACACCCAGCGAATATACATCAGACGCTGTAGAAAATACACCGTGCATCAAACTTTCGGGCGCCATCCAGAGCACAGGAAATAAACCGCGTCGTCGACAAGCGTACTCTCCATTGCCGTCCATGCCTGTAACTATTGTTTCTCGCGCTAAGCCAAAGTCAGCCAGCTTTAGGGAACGTTTCGCATCAACCAGACAGTTTGAAGCACGCACATCTCGATGTATAACGCCCTGCAAGGCCAGATAAGCTAACGCTGATGAGGCCTCACGTGCTAGCCGAGTAAGTTCTTTGGCTGATACATGAGCAGCCTCTTCGTAGTCCTTATTCAATTCTGGAATTGAATCAGATGTTACCTTATTACCTTCTGCAAGGTAACGACGATTCTCAAGATAATGGAGCAAATCACCGAAGAAAGCTACCTCCATAAGCACGAGTGTTGGTCCGTCATCTATACACACGCCGACCAGACGAATAATATTGTCGTGTTTAAGAGAAGCTAGAATGCACGCCTCCCTAAGAATTTCTCTTTCATTTTGATGATCACGCAGTTCTTTGGCCGCAACGATCTGTGTCTTCGAGCCCGGGATGAGCAAATCTGCTAGCTTTACACAACCAAAACGGCCAGCTCCGAGTTGACGTCGTGGCTTTAAAGCCTTGCGATCCACTAAATAAGTGGACAGCTTGGCGGCACGGTGATCACGCTCTGCCCGTAGGTCCCTTAGAATATTCATGCGCATCTTCTTCAGACGCCGATGTATTGCGCGATTTATAAGTACAACCGACAGGGGTGCCACAGTAATTATAATAATCGCGATAATCCAATAGAAATCGTTGCAAGTCGGTAAGTATAAGTCACCAGTTGGCGTCAAACATCTTGAAGTACCATCATGAGGGGGGTTGGTTTTAAAATATGGTTCACGATAGTCATGTTCAAATTCAACTTTTTTTGTCGCTGCGTTCACATGCCACCGTGATACGGTGTTGCGCTTGCCGCTCTGCCATTCTGCTAAGTACAAAACGGCTTTCTCAGTAGAGTGCTTCGTGAATACCAGTTCCTGAGCGAAACCTTCAATCGGGCTTAACTCAATTAAGCTTTGTTCAAATTGTCTGTAAAGGAGTAAAATAAAATATTACTCACGTAATTAATATTGTCAATACCACAGGAAAGTCAAATTCATGAAAACCAGAGATAATAACTTCAACTAAATGTCACCTGGTGGCCATTAAATGTTAGTAATGCAATAAATTTTAAAATAGTAATTTTATAGACTTTCAGTACCATGATAGATCAAAATGTAATCTGAACTCTTGTAGTTCAAATTGCTTTTATGTTCAAACTACTGCAAATCAGTACAGTTGCTACCTTAAAAATTTTAACCTACAAGTAGAATAAAATAGTGTGTTATACTTGCAAAAGACGAACTCTTACTAAAGTGATAAAGTTTTAACGACTAGATTCATTTCATTTCATTTTCATTTATTTATTTAATTTTGTGATACATAGGTGGTTAAGATGTCAATTTTATTTAGTACAAGCTATGTCCCGCCGAAAGGCATACAAAATATTAGGCAATGATATATAAACAAAACAATATTATAATACGTCATTGATATTAGGTACATTCTTCAAGCACCAGGGACTTCCTTTCTAGGGTATACCTGGTTCCCCGGCTATTAGTACCCGAGACGGCGTGCGGTTTTAGTCGGTTCGAGTCCGACATGCCACCGGTGGTATCCGAGGGGATTTCCGCACGGAAAAAAAAAAGAAAAGGTACATTCTTTAAATATTCTAAGAATATTGTTAAAATAAAGCATCATTTTTACATAAACAAAGTCATCAATCCATATAAGTATATATAATTTAAAGTCATTATCGTTTCAGGTCAAATCAAGTAATAATAATAAAAGATAATTAAAATTTATAGTAAAAATAATCAATGAATCTCAATAGTATTAAAATTGGTCATTGAAATATTCGTATATGGAATAATATGCTTTATTGTTAAAAAAGACCGAGTTTACATTTAAATTCATTAATATTTGTGCTCAATACAATTTGGTTTGGCAATCTATTATACAATTTCGGTGCCATTGCATATATACTTTTGTGGGCGAAGGAAGTTTTTGTAGGCAGCAAGTGCTACTTATTTAAGCGACGTCGACTTTCCACAGAGTCAAATTTAAAGTTCAATCTTACAAAAATAACGATCTCACAAATGTAAAGCGATGGTACAGTTAAAATTTTTAAATTCTTGAAATGTGGTTTGCAAGCAAATGGCACGAATACATTTTTTTTAGTGCCAGTAATACATCTGATACGTGGGTCGCGCTTTCCCAAAATATAATGCCATATCTCAAAGTGGAGGCGACATAGCCATGGTAGGCTGTTATTAGTGTGGTCTTATTCGCAATTTTTTGGAGCATATATAATGTGTATGAGAATTGAGGCAGTTTCATAAACGGGTCATACTCAGAAAAAATGTACATTTGGCACTTTTTTTGTCCCACTACTTTAATAGCAGATTTAAAATTTGAATATTATGGCACATATTTTTAATCATGTTTACATCTATGTTTGGTCTTTAATAGGATCTTTTTTTATAAATAAAAAGACGTGTGGCACTCGGGGACTGCCGCGGTAAAGCTATTGCATAGCATTTTGTATCAACTTATGCAATTATAATTATTTATTTATTTTATTTATGCAGTATTTCTTTTTCTTTGATATTAATTCAAGTTACACTTTTTGAGCGTGGTGACCGATAAGAAAACAATTTTTTTTCTTTTATTAAATAAAAATATTGAAGCATATATTACAATTTGTTTTTAAATAAATAAATAAAAAACTTCCTTTGACGTTCAGCATTTGATTTTGGTACTGTTTTTTGTTTTGTTTTTAGCGTGAGGTTATTTTTCGTTACGGAATTTCTGGATTCGGTCCCCGCGCTCAAGGCCCTCGATAGAAGCTATGCAATAGCTTAATATAATATTTTCGTCAAATCATAGTATAAATAGCATTGGGATTTTTTTTATAAAATATCTTCCATACAATTTTTTAATGTCCCAATAACGATTTTTCTTAATAAAAGAGTAATTGTTACGACTATTAGTCCACTTACATAAGATTGACTGTAGTCATTTAGGTCTCTTTTAGTCCATCATTTAAATAGTAATACGATTTATTCTTTAGAACGTTTAATAAAATTATTTAAATTCATATTAATGTTGTCCCAAAATTATTACATTTCGTTGCTCAGTGATAGTTACGTGCGTATAATTCTGAACGCAGTTGTTCGAAACTGACGGGAAATAATTTTCCTAATATTGACAACATTGCTGCTTTTTACAATTCACCGTACATACAGAGGTCATTTTGTTTTCATCTGTACACGGGAGTCATTGTGTTGAATTCGCATTTGGAAAAAAATTCGGTTATTGTGTATACAATAAGTGGTACTAACAGAATTATTTTTCGGAGTTATAATTTCTCAGAGTTTGTCTTCAGTTTAGTTTTATTGCGTTACGTTACGAAACTGAGAAATTGTAAAGCTGAGTTTACGAAGTTACTCTAATTTGAAAAATGAATTATTATCTATTAAAATTTTATTATACCAACCCGTCTGGCCAGCGTGGTATAGTAGGCCAAAACCTCCTTTCTAAGGAGAGGCCTATGTCCAGCAGTGGACTAGTATAGGCTGTAGATGTGATGTGATGTGAAAATTTTATTACAATAATTTAGGGGAACAGAAGTGTAATCGTGGTACAATGAAAATTACGGGCTTGATTCCCGAACGTAACAATGTATTTCTGTTGAACTAAAAAAAAATATGATTGACTTATTATTTTACTATTTGTGTGGGTACTGTGCAGAGTAGTCAAGTATTTAGGATATTTTTTATTTAATTATAATTATATATTTATTTCTAATTTTATTTAATTATAATCAATAATATTATTATTTTATTAAGTTAATTCTTCAGTTACCAAAATATTTAAATAATGGAGCAGTACGTAACGTTGATATTTTTTTGTTACAAATTTGTTTGTTATGGAGATTTGAGACTTGAGGAGATTTTCATTATGAAAGATTATATTATTTTTAAGAAATATTATTATTACTATCTTGCTTATTTTTGTTTCAATTTGGTCTTAACGGTTCTTGACAACTTGTTTTCTTTCGTTGCTCGAAATATGGAAGGGCCCGATTAAATTTTGTCAATATTACTTCGATTATTCAATTGATTTTTTAGAAATGTGTATGATTGTTCTTGGTTATTTTTATGTTTTGAACAATAATTTGTAATTTAACGAGAAAACTGTAATTTAATTTAATTTGTAACTACTACTAAACCTACAATTGCATATTACACTCGTACATACTGATTCATACAATTGAGTTTTTTTGACGTGACAACGTCTTATAATTCGATGGAGCCGGCTGCACGCACGAAAAAACATGACTCATGCGGCGTTACCTCGTTAGCATTTAAGGCGTGAAGTGCAAGCGAGAGCGCGGAACGAGTGACAAAGAGGCACAATCGGCCTCCGCGTTCGGCAGCGTTCGACATCTCAGTACGGTTTCCGTCAGGGGCGCTCCACCGTGGATGCGATCATGCGCGTGAAGGCTCTGGCGGAGGAAGCAGTCTCCCGGGGCGAAGTGGTGTTGGCGGTGTCCTTGGACATCGCCAACGCCTTCAACACTATGCCCTGGAGCTGCATCAGGGAGGCGCTCGTGTATCACGAAGTGCCTCTCTACCTCCGCCGCATAGTCGGGGCATATTTGTCGGAGAGAGCCGTCGTCTACCCCAGTAGGACCGGTCTCGGTAGGCGTGAAATGTCGTGCGGTGTTCCGCAGGGGTCGGTGTTAGGGCCACTCTTGTGGAACATCGGCTACGACTGGGTGCTTCGTGGTACCTTCTTGGATGGTGTCGCCGTCGTGTGCTACGCGGACGACACACTCGTGACGGCGCGCGGCAAGACGCACCACGAGGCAACCCTGAGGGCCACGGCCGGGGTTGCCCAAGTCGTTGAGCGTATCCGGCGGCTGGGTCTCGAGGTGGCTCTGCACAAGTCCGAGGCCCTGTTCTTCCACGGGCTTCGGAGGAAGCCGCCTGAGGGATCTAGCCTCACGGTAGGAGGCACTCGCATCGGCATCGAGCCCTCGATCAGGTATCTGGGGCTCGTACTCGATGGCCGATGGGACTTCGGATATCATTTCCGAGGTCTGGTCCCCAAGTTGGTTGGGGCAGCGCGTGCGTTGGCGCGGCTGCTGCCCAACATGAAGGGACCCGATGACTCCTGCCGGAGACTCTACTCGGGGGTTGTGCGGTCCATGGCCCTTTACGGGTGCCCAGTATGGGCGGGGGCCCTGAAGGCCAGCAACGTCGCGATACTGCGGCGACCGCAGCGAATGCTGGCCATCAGGATCATAAGGGGGTACCGCACGATCTCCTTCGAGGCGGCGAGTCTCCTGGCCGGAACTCCACCGTGGGACCTGGAGGCGAGAGCCCTTGCAGCACTGTATCAGTGGCGCAAGGAGGCGCAGGAGTTGGGTCGATACCCCGAGATTCGAGAAATCGATGACCGGAAATCCCAACTCCGCCAGGTCATCATAGGGGAGTGGAGGGAACGACTCGGGCAACCGAGCGCCGGGCACGCCGTCATTGCGGCGGTAAGACCCGTTATGGAGGATTGGCTCGAGAGGCGTCACGGGACCCTCTCATACCGATTGACGCAGGTGATCACTGGGAAGGGATGTTTCGGAGATCACTTGTGTCTGATCCGCAAGGAGCCAACGCCTGAGTGCCACCACTGCGATGGCCAGACCGTGGACACGGCTCTCCACACGCTGGCAGAGTGCCCGGCGTGGGTTGAGCAGAGGCGAGACCTCGTGGCGGCCATCGGAGTGGGAGTTCTCTCGCTCGATAGCCTGATTGCGGCTATCGTGCGGAGCGAGAGTGCGTGGAACTCTGCCGTCTCCTTCTGCGAGCAAGTTATGCTCGCGAAGGAGACGGCGGAGCGGGACCGGGAGAGGTTTAGAACTCTCCCGGCCCACCAGGCCCGGGCACGGGCCAGGCAGCGCAGGCGACTCAGGCGCCGGAGGTCGCAGAACGACCTTCGTCCTCCATAAGCGCAGGCCTGGGGGTGACAGGTGAGGCCATCTGTCACCCTAGCAGAAGCAGGCCGGGGTGGCGGCGAGCGCGTTGCGAAGCGCGCTCGCTTCCAGGGAGCACAGGGAACATGGGGTTCCCACACGGGGCGGGGGTCGTCTACTCGTCTGTAGATGACCCGAGGTATGTCGGGGCACCAGGGCCTTCCTTTCTAGGGTATACCTGGTTCCCCGGCTATTAGTACCCGGCGAAGGCGTGCGGTTTTAGTCGGTTCGAGTCCGACATGCCACCGACAGGTGGTATCCGAGGGGATTTCCGCACGGAAAAAAAAAAAAAAAAAAAAAAAAAAAAAGCGTTCGACATCTGTCTCTCTCCTACTTGAGTGAGCGATGCGTCCGCGTGGGCAGCTGCTAGTCGTATACAATAATACATTTTTGAAAAATGCTACCATTCCATCAGTATTTTCTTATGACGTTGTCACGTTCACCTATCGTCAGTAAACCGACTTTACAGACAACCGATTTTTTTTTCATTATTTTGTAGCTGGATGGTCCCCCATAATAATTGCAATCAAGCCTTTAGGCGTAATGAGTAATTTAAATTTATTAGCTAAAAAATTATAATATATGTACTTAAAGAGTGCGTCCATTGGTACTTTTCTCATGGTTCCTACTTCAATAAAAATACATTTTGTACTTGTTCTACAAGAGTAGCACTCACTGCACTACGTCACACTAACTTAACTAAACAACTAAAAAGGCTTAGGGTTCTTTAGTCTTAATGAAATATTCGTATTGTTGGAATATTCACTTATTCCCGTCGGGTAGGATGAGCCTGATTTAGATTTCTCAGACATTACGTTCTATAAGGAGGTGGAGTTTTTTTATCAATATTTAGACAATAACCAACAAGAAGAAAGAGGATCAGAAGGACAAGAAGAAGAAGAGGAAGGAAGAGGAGGAGAGGATGAAAAGAAAACCTTATAAATAAAGGTTCCAGTTACAGCTATACAGACATTTTGATGCCTGAAAACCATTAAATCAAGTGAGGAATAATCATCCTGTGATGAATTGATGACTCACAGCTTTGAATGACTCGATGAATCACAGTTTTTAGTTTTGAGAATATTATTTAATGTACAGCCATAATTTACTAAGCATTTTTACATATATGTGTGTATATACACGGTGATTTTGAAAGCGTTTTGGAAAAGAAAATTTTGATTTATTTATCAGTAACAGAAGCTATATATAACGTTAATTTAATAAAATATATATATTTTTTATCATCAAAGTCGATATTCATATCGATTACAGAGAAAAGGTGAGAACCAGTAGTAGGGCTTTTCAATCGCAAGTAGGTAAATACTACGAATACAAATACTATACTCACGCGCAAGGTCAAGGACGTTTAAATTATTATTCGCCGGAGTGTAGTGCGTGCATACCTGGACAATGAGTTTAGTGATCGGTGGATAGGTCGAGGAGGGCCAGTGCCTTGGCCACCTAGAAGCCCGGACTTAACGCCCCTGGATTTTTTCTTATGGTCGGAAATAAAAATACTTGTTTATACACGGGAATATGAAAGCCGTGATAATTTACGCATTGCGATAGTGGACGCTTTTGATAAAGTGAAAAGTGATAGAGACACATTAAGAAAATTAAAAAACAATTGCATTAAACGTGGACGTTTGTGTATTGAATGCCGCGGACTCCATTTTGAGCAGTTGCTTCGATACAGAGAAGTGTAAATAGTGTAAATAGGTATGTAAGTTAATTATTCTGTAGATAGCTCCGATTTTTTAAATACGCTTGAAATATTTATACCTACAGTCCGTTGATAAATTGATTTGTTGTGAAAAGAACAATCGTGGTTAATAATCGAAAAAAAGTTTAAATAAAATAGGTATTTCCGACGATCCTAAGCCCGTGTAAAGTATGAAGGACAAATTGCAGCCTATCTACGTAAGTACTCGCTAGCTCGCGCCTATAGGTATACTTTTATCAGCTGCTGTCAGCGTCAGCGGTGCGCAGCGGCCGCCGAAACGCCCACGGACGTGTTTCATTCATATAAGATAATGAATGAATGATCAGTCCATTACTACTTTCCAAGTCGATCGAGTAAAAATGAATATTAAAACTGAAACTTTTTTCTAGACAACATTACAATTGATTTAATCATTTTTATTGGTACTATAGATGATTCCAAATTAAAATGTTTCGTTTCCAAAACGCCTAAAAAATCACCGTGTATATATATATATAGTTAAGTCATTAACAAATACGTGGGGCTATTAAATCTGGATCCTTCTAAAATTAAAACAAAGCAAAAACCTGCTCACCTAATAGATTTTGCGCTGTGTGGGTCTTCGCGTGCCTGGGGATATTTCAAAAAAACGTCTTCAAAGCCCTTAGCCATTGTCAACACTGCATCTACAAGTGCAACAGCTGACCGAGGCCATAAGTCATTAATTTCTGCTTTAAGGTTCTTTCCAGTGCTTCCCAGTTCATTTTTTTTCGGACAGCAAAATGATATCGTAAAGAATATGATGTTTAATATTTTGTCATACTCTACCCACTCGCGTACGATCCAGATAAATTCTTTTTCATTATTCATATCAAGTTCAGCTGCTGTTGTAAGTATGGTGACTGCATCTTGAGACTGTGTATTCACTATAATAATGTGGGCATTTTCATATTGTAATTTACTTAAAACTTTTTTCGACTCAGTTGGTGTTACTTGTTCTAATGTATGGTCATGAAGTGCAATTTTATCTGCTTCTCTTAGATCTGCAGTACATGTCAGCAAATCTCCCAGAAACTTTTTAGCTACATCAGATGAATCTGATAACACAGCTACACGAATCCAATTGTTTTTACGAACAAAGTGTTTCATTGCAAGTGCCAAGTGAACCGAGCGGCCAGAAGTGACCCATACGGATTCCATAGAATCTACATCTACGGTAGTCACGTCATAAAATAATACTGGAAGACCCATTTTATCAAAAGCTGTAGCCTCTTCAGTCATTTTATCATCACCGCCTACAACAGCTCCAATTAATCTTTGTCTGATTCCATGTCTCATGTAATAGTGTATTTCACTCTTAACAAAACTTTTATTAAAGTTATCTAGTGAATAATAGTGTCTCAAAGTTATATTTAGATTTGATCCTGTCAAGCGGTAGACTTCTTTTTGTAAATTGCTTAAAAGTATTGAAAAGGTTTCTTTATTAGTGTCTGAAGTACTATAAAAAACGGCTAGTTCATGATGCTTTATATGCGCGTCGTAATTGGCTACCCAATCATTATAAACTGTATCATTATTATTACTAATCCATTCACAGGCAGCTTCTTCAATATCTGTACCATTTGCATTGTGCTCGAGTATAAATATTAAGGATTCGTGAGAAGGATGAAAAATGTGAGCAAGTTGAAATATTTGCGTTGCGTGTTCCGGTAGCAAAAAATGGTCGGTAACACGCATGTCTATCGCAGTGTCCAATTCAGTTACACATGCGAGTCCTTCAAACGATAAACAAGGCAGTTCTTGGACTGTACTGATCACCGCTCTGTGATCCCACATGTCATAATCAATAAATAAGAACGATTCATTGGCAGAATGCAATTTTTGAAAAAGACTCTTCCGATCCAGTTCTTTGAATTGAAGAAGTGCATTAAATCGTGCCTCTAGCTTTTTTGCACGCTCAGTCGTTCTATTGCTCGAGTCCTGTACGATGTACACCACCGCTTTATGGTCCCTTTAAAAATGGAAGAAAAATAGTAAGATTTAGCAAACATTGGTTATGAATAAGAAAAGTTAGCAGTGATGTTTAAATTACAATTAATTATTTAAATTACTGATTTATTACTAAATAATATTCAGTAAACAATAGTAGCCTTTTAATTTTATAAGCATTATGAAAGTTTAGCTGTAAGAGAGCCATGGTTCGGCACAAATGGGCCGACTGGTCCGAGTGATACCACGGCCTCACAGAAGACGGGTGTTAAACAATTCTTTCTATGCTTTTCACGGAATGAGTTAGGGTCCCGGAGCTCCAAACCCCCCTTTCCCCTAATTCTGGGGGAAGGGCCACACGGGGGGTTCCGCACTTGCACGAATACAAGCCGCAACCCACCACGGGTTGCGGCTTGTATTCGCATAATAAATGAACAGCGTTGTCACCATATAAACGTAAACGGATTAGAATTCTTTTTTTTTTGTATAGAGGATAGAATATCGCTGCCCATGGACACCTGCACCTGCATATGGCACTTTGTGGTTGCATTGATGAAAAATGCTAAACAAAACTGACGTTAAAAATAGTTAAAAAATCTTTGAAGCTGGTTGTGCATCATGTCTAAATTTCAGCTCAATTGGTGTAAAGTTTTTTGAGTTTTTGAAGTGTACACAAACCATCTCAACATTTTTATATGTATATACTTGGTGTACAAAACTAACGTGATAAATAGATAAAAACAATTTTTGAAACGAGTTGTGTATCATGTTTGTTTGATTTGATGATAATTAATTTGTTTTTTTCTGAGTTGTAATTGTGTAGAGTACAATGAACTGTGATGTGGAATTCTATTACTTACAAGCGTAAGCCCGGTTAGGCTAAACAAGCAGATGTCTGCAATGCAATTAATGGCGACACTTGCACTTAATGGCGATACGAAAAAAAAATAAAAACACTTCATTAATAGTGTCGTCTTCAGTAAGGTACTAGTGGGTTAAATAGAAACTAGTAAGGAATCATCGACGGTACCAGTAACCTAAAAGTAGTTCCGGAATTTCTAAGGTCGGTTTCGCGAAACCTAAGGATGAATATTGCTATGGTAGGGTTCGTGGAATTATAATTCCCTACACATGATTATACAGCTGCTCTGCTCCTCTATAAGATTTTGTATAATTAAGTCCTTCTAAAGTTGGTTAAGACAACGAATAAGTTTTGTTCTTAATATAATGTAATAAAATTTAAAACTATAAAACTGGTTTTATTTAATATTGCTTTATTAAGAAAAGAACATAGGTTTTATTTTTATTTAGTTATAGAGCAGCACATGTACTTAATAGCTGGTATTGAATAAGTCGAAAAACATACATAACATACAAAGTCATGGTAGTTAATATATACTCGTTAAGTCTATTAAAATAGAAAATAAGCTGAACCCCACTCATGCGACCCTATGCCTATATACAATATAATAACAAAAAATTACGAATATTGAGTTAAACTATTAATGTGCACCTACCTTGAAGCAGAATAATCATTAATGAAACCGCAATTCTTAAGCGCATCAGCGTCAGTGTAGAAATTCCATAGTATGACCTTTTCGCACTGTTTTATTGATTTGAATTTGGAAGGGCAGTGTACGTAGAGTCGCACACGTGCTGGCAACATGTTTGCAGTGATGTCTTGAAGGCGAGGAGCCCCCAACCCGCTTGTAGCTCCAGCTAGGTTGAGTTCCCTCATTGGTTCAAGGGTAGGCTCCCATCCCGTCGATAGTCCTAATATTGCACTGCAAAATAATTTATACTGAAATGAAAAATAGTTTTTTCATAATTCTCTGACTAAAATATAAAAAAAAGTAATAAAACAAAAGACTTTTGAAAGACTAACATACACTTAATTCAGTATTTGGTTCAAAAAGGCTTTATAGACGTGTAAACCCGATCTTAATGATCTTAACCCGAAATATCAAAAAATCGTATTCAAAACTTTTTTTCGTTAATGTGTTGATCGAATGCTTTTTCGTCTTAGTCACTCGTTTTTATACACCATTCATTCTTAATGCACGCAGTGTGAGTTCAAATTTCAAGAGATAACAGCTATTTAGATCATTTTTTTTGCTAATTGCTTATAAAACTTATAATATTTCCATGTGAAGGTGAGTAGTTTAATTATTAAGGCCGCCTTTTTGTAAGTTATGGAAAAGTTCTAATACATTACTCTTCATATTGTCCTGCACTGTCAAAATATACGCTTGCAGCAAGCTCATTGAGGCTATGTGGACCTTTTATCAGTCGAACATTCTGGTATCCAAGAGCCCTATGAAGCACGACTTTGAACAGGGCCGAGGCAGCGTGCGCTGGGTCACTGCCCCAATACAATGAAATGCTCTTCTCTTTTCCATCCTCACTAAGATACTGCTCTGGTGGACCTGAAAGCCAAATCCAAAAGAGGTGTCTTAATTATCGCATTCTAATATTAAAGCTGAAGAGTTTGTTTGTTTCAACGCGCACATCTCTGAAACTACTGATGCAAAATTCTAAATTCTTTTAGTGTTGTATATCCCGTTTTTCAAGGAAGGTTATAGGAGTAATAGGAACCGAACATCAATGAAAAGCGTTACAGAAACGGGAAAAAATTATTCCTTTTCAGAGACGTAGACAAAGTTGCCCGGGTTGGATAGTTTAAAGTAACACAGTTATAAGTGAGTGGGATCTTAAACATAAAATTACAGTTCACTTTTCTTTTCTTTTCGTGTGGTGATCTAACTGTGGTTGACTTAAGAATACAGAGTGTCACCTCACATCGGCATTCATACCGTGAGTGTAATAAGAGCCGACTAGGTGAGCAAACTACGCAGCACTGCAGAGAGAAGGAAAACTTGACACAAACCCTATACCAACACGTCTGGTCAGCGTGGTATAGTAGGCCAAAACCTCCTTTCTAAGAAGAGGCCTATGTCCAGCAGTGGACTATTAAATGCTGTTGATGTGTGATGTGATGAAACATTTTCTTAATTTTTTTATGGTAGGTATAGATGGGCAAACGAGCAGACTGGTCACCTGATGGTCAGGAATTACCGCTGCCTATGAAAACGTGCAACAATAGTCAAAAGTGCATTGCTGCTTTGAGTGCTTCCCTTAGAATCAGGGTGAGATGGGATTTGGGCTCCGGTAACCGCACTCATTGACACAAACCCTATACCAACAAACAACTTTGAAAAGCAAAGAAAAGCTGCTAATTTATTTCATATCTAATCGATCGTCACGGTCACGTTTGGCACTGCGATTGGCCCACACGAAAATCTTAACCAATCGCACCGAACACGCTCGCTGTCGAGAGTGAGTTGCTGTGAAATAAACTCGCACATGGCCCTCTGCTTAACATCGGGTTTCTGTAAATGTGTTTTTGTGGAGCTGGTCCATTTGAGCCGAAGCATGGCTCTCACATGACGGTTAAATTGACATTAACTTACATTCATGTAAGCTTAGGTGATGGGCTTCAACTCCTTAACTTGACTGCATGGATGGCGTAGAGGTTTAAGCTATCACCTAGCTGTTTGCTACTGCGCTGAGTGTTGTGGCTGCGATCCCCACATGGGACAACACTTTGTATGATCTACAAATTGTTGTTTTGAGTCGGGGTTTGTTTTTTGTCCGTTTTATCAATTTTTGTAAAATTCCCTCTCAAAATAGAATTTATTTTGGACAACTTCCGCACTAGGAATATAATTATCCTGTTTATTACATTGGAACAACCGATCATCTTGAGGTGTGGCTACACGTGTTTAGCGGTACAACATTTTTATGCAAAAATTAGAATTTAGGTATTGTTCCCAATGGACTACTGATCGGACGATGGAGTATTCACCAATGCGTGACTCTTGGAGGACTTGACGTAATCATTGCATGGGTCTGATCCTGTTTAATCTCTTTGCGGCCGGGGGCTGTCGTCTAAGGCGGGATGCTGTTGCGCCTTTTACTCTGTAGAACAGTGAGAGGCGCGGTAGCGTCCTGCCCCAGGGTGACTTCGATCACTCCGGGATGTGCCTCAGACATGAGGTAGGGCAGGGAGGACTCCAGAAGTCGCCGATGCGTTCCTGGAGCTCCTCCCGACTGCCGAGGTAGGCCGCCGCGGGGTTTAGTGGGTAGACCGGTTCTCCGGGAGACCCACACACGCCCTACGTTTCCCCAACGGAGGGTATGGTGCGAAAAGCATTCCCCGCGTAAAAAAAAAAAAAAAAAAAAAAGGTATTTCTGATGACAGCAGCATGAATTGGGTATTTCTATGTAAAATATGTGTTTATTTACAAAAAAGTATAAATGTATTTAAAGCAGTTGTCTAGTACTCATAGTATGAGCTCTGCTTTTTTGGGATTAGATAACGTTGTGTGAATATGGTATAATATATTATTATATATGTCTTTGGTTTCAGAATTATCAACTGAAAGAAATCAACTGCGGTTCTATTTAACTGTTTTATATACAATATTTTATAATTCATTTCAAGTTTGACCTCAAATAAAATTCATGATTTTAATAATATTTTCCTGTTAGCATAAGAGGATAGTAATGGCTATTAATTATCATGGTAACAACTTATAATTATAATATGGTAACCAAATATATGATCCAAAAGCTAATTAGTCACAATCGGAGTGTTAAAATATCCGGCTAAACACGTCGATTGGGCGGCACCCCAGTTAGGTGTTTGCCACATATTATCAAAGTCTCCAGACGCTACCCCGAGTTAAAATCTAAATGATATTTGTAATAATTTTCTTATGTAAATCCATTACAGACCGACTAAATGAGACCGACTTAATCACACGGTGTGCCACTCTGCGCCTGTGATAGGACGGATCCGGGAACTTATTAAGACCTCCTAGCGCCTGCCCGCAATGGCGAGGGCACCACCTTCGGGTATATTCTCTAGTTAGGCGCCTCCTCGCAGCTGGCCGATATGGCTTGAGGACCTGTAGCGTCCTACACTACGATTAATCAGAAGGCTTTCTTCGTACAGTGGAAAACCACTGTCTAAGCCCCCCTTTAAAAATTGAATATATTTTAACTCCAAAAGGGACACCTGCAACCCAAGAGTCACAAGTGCCTTGCCGCTCTTTCAGTAACTCCCCCCAGAATCAGGGAGAGCGGGGTGGCCGTGGCCGAAGCATGCCTCTCCTACGATAAGAGCCTTCTCCAGTAGCATCATAAATATCGGCAAAAAAACGAAATATGAGGAGATAGAGTTTAATGTAGCTTACACGCGACAAGCTTACACAAGAAGTCCTGAGGTCATGAATTACTTTGGACCCTTGCAGAGGTGTAGAAACCTAAACTCTTTTCCAGAATTTTACCGTCTCTTCCAATGAGCTCTTTCAACTGTACCGTTCTCTCATTTATTATTCAGAATAATACGTGGCACATTGAAGTTACATACAGTACAAACAATCTAACGAACATCAGAAGGTTCAAAACCTCATATTTTTTTAGAACCATTAAAAATTTGAGTTATCACCGCACGTGTTCCCTTCAACCTCCAATACCGAGTCTCTTAAACGCGATATAAGAAGGCATTCCTCGAGAGGCCTTGAAACTGGAAACTAAAATTGAACTATTATTATTAATAAACGTTTAGTGACCTTCAATCATAGGATTTGATTGATATTATTAATCCGTGTGGTGACGGATTAAGAATACGGTATGTCACCACCCCTATTTATCCCGTGGTTGTCGTAAGAGCCGACTAAGGGCGCAAAACAACGCAGGACACCAGCACTGCAAAAAGAAGGAAAACTTGACACAAACCCTTTACCAACCCGTCTGGCCAGCGTGGTATAGTAGGCCAAAACCTCCTTTCTAAGGAGAGGCCTATGTCCAGCAGTGGACTATTAAAGGCTATTGATGATGATTGATGAATCATAGGACTACCTTACCACACCGTAGCTACCGAGCGTACTCATCGCCCACGTCAACACCAACTTTGCTAGTGTATCTGTAATTTCCTTTTATATTCACGACACAATACCTGTCACCTTTGTATGATGTTCTTAGTTAATTGTTAATTAGATTAATAGAAGAGAAGAATGGGTTATAAAACAAAATGGAATGTCTTTTCCTTTGAAATACATAAGATAGATAGGGTACCCGTTTACCTATAACTGAAATTTGACAAGTAACACCGTTTACTACAAGTACAGGAAAAAAACTGAAAACTATACATATGTCATAAATCATAAAAAATATAGTCTTTATTTAAAGTACGTAATCAATCATCGGGAAATTATCTTATAAAACTCAAGAATATAAATAATAACAGGTTTCGAAAACTGAATTTCGGGCAAAGCTCGTAAAAAACTGCGAGATTCGATTCCTGAACTATTTATTATATGTACCTAAAAACGTTTACGGAACCCTAGGTGGGCTAGTTCGACTCGCATGAATTAGGAAGCAGTGGGGTAAGGGCAGTAACCTAACTCACTCGGTGAAAAGGAACGAAAAAACTGCTTATCACCCGCTTTCTGTGGTATTGTTCCGGAGGAAACAGCTTATATTGAAAAAAAAAAAGGAATTTGAAATTATATATATGGATATGCATGCTATTTTGTCTAATGTTTACTTGCTTTTTTTTTTAATAATATACAATTAGTATATTGTATAGTATACAATTAGTAGGCGTAGTGGTTTAAGCGGGTTTCTTTGTGTCCGTATCACGTATGTTTGTAAAGTCCCCGGGACACAGGATATATCCCTAAAGCAGAAGTTGTATTTAAAAAATGAAAAAATAATGGTTTATGGACACCCTAGTAGCTAAGCGGGCACTTCGTGGTTATTGCGGGGCAGCGGATCATCTGCTGTGCGTAAGCGTTTACGCGAATTGTAAGCTTATTAATATAAACGGAGGCAAGTAGCTTCAGGCTACACTGACAAACTGTATACAAGAAAACACTCAAGAAATCATACTTTTTATTTGACAATTACTTTTAGTTCATAAAGATGTTTGGAGCCCTATAAATACGGCTACTATTTTAGACACCTTTCTGAATAGCTCTAAAGACGTTTAAGTCTATCGAGATAACAGTAAACCAACGTGAATTTTTAATTAAGTAGCAAGATAAATACTGTTTTATAAAAGGCAAACCTACGTACATAAACATACAAAAACCAACAGTTTTATTAATAAACCATCAAAACATACTTGGATTAAGCTCGTAAGTATTTACCCTCAAGGGTAAAATGTATCGTATGTAATTTAAATATTAGGTACCCAACTAACATTATAGCATGTTTGTTTGTGCCTAACGTTTTCAAGGCTTAAACTACTCAAAACTGTCATGGCTGTCATGACTTGACTTTTTGAATAGAGATTAAAAGGGTTACCGTAAACAACATATTGTACATTTAATCTTGAAAAAGCTTACTTTTTTCACAAGGGACAAAAATACGCTGTAATGAAAATTTAATAAAAGGCAAGCAACTAACCGAATCTAGGAAAAACAAGACCTATGAGATGTAATTATCAAAAGACTACATCGGTATATTTACTGAATACTTACGATATCCAAGGTACTCGCAATATGATGATGCATTCGAGCTGTCGAAGAGATTTATGATGACCACAGCCATTAAAGCTATAGGCGTCCACATGGTTACAGGTTATAAATACTTTAACAGGAATATTCATAGACTTAAAACACGAGTGCCAATAATGACTAAGTAAACAGTACTGAATACATCTCTAACCATACTTATTCATTACAGTAATCCCTTCACGGAAAACGGAACAAATTTATTTCCACTTTTTCCCAAATAGATGTAATAATTAATTTATTAATTCTTTAACAGGTTTTCGAATATTTATTTTTTCGAGTTCAATGGTTCAATCCTGTAAATGTACACAGCAATATGTTTTACAAATTATTATTAGAACAAGGAAAAGAAAAACTTATTGCGTATATTCTGATAATGCGTTTAATGCGCAGTTCCTTTTAAAGGACCATTTGTTTTATAAAATAAATATTTATTGTATTTCTTAATTATTTCCGTCTGGTGACAGATTAAGAATACGGAGTGTCACTACCCCTCTTTTTTTTCCCGTGCGGAAATCCCCTCGGATACCACCTATCGGTGGCATGTCGGACTCGAACCGAATAAAACCGCATGCCGTCTCGGGTACTAATAGCCGGGGAACCAGGTATACCCTAGAAAGGAAGTCCCTGGTGCAGTGTCACTACCCCTATTTATATCGTGGGTGTCGTAAGAGCCGACTAAGGGTCACTAACCACTAGACCAACAGGCCCGTCAGGCCGATGTTTAACCCTACCTTCAAATTAAAATTAAAATCAGAAAATCTGAGATATTATTTATTAATAAAACATGTTACAAGTTAAAATTTTATTAAACTGAATAAAATCAATAAATTACTTTTTCTCCTACATTAGAAAAATATTATTGCCTTGAGAGGATTGTGAATGTTACATAATTATAATTAATAATATAGATGAACTAAAAATTATCTAGAATAAACGTATAATAACTTTTGATTAAGCGTTAACCAAATACTGTCAACACATACTGACTGAACGGATGGCGTAGTGGTGTAAGCGGTCACTTCACCGCTTCCTACTGCGCTGAGTGTTGTGAGTTCGATCCCCACATGGGACATCACTTTGTGTGATCTACAAATAGTTGCCTGGGTGTTCTTTGTGTCCGTTTCTCGTATGTTTGTACAGTCCCCCGCGACACAGAATTATATTCCTAATGCGGGAGTTGTCTTTTAAAAAAAGAGAAAGAAAATAAGTTACAAAAGAAATAACACTGTACTTTTAAAAATAGCTTCGTAAGTAAACCATTATTTTTTGTAATGTACAAAAGATTAAAATGGATACAGTGTGAGCCGGAGCTGCGGTCAAAAGCTAGTCAGTAATGATTTTAAAGAGGTACATATTACTTATTACCCTACTTAGTGGGTTCCACTTTTTATAAGAAAAACAGCGATATCCATCCCTTTTTTTTTTTTTTTTTTTTTCCGTGCGGAAATCCCCTCGGATCCTGTCGGTGGCATGTCGGACTCGAACCGACTAAAACCGCACGCCTTCGCCGGGTACTAATAGCCGGGGAACCAGGTATACCCTAGAAAGGAAGTCCCTGGTGCCCCGACATACCTCGGGTCATCTACAGACGAGTAGACGACCCCCCCCCCCCGTGTGGGAACCCCATGTTCCCTGTGCTCCCTGGAAGCAAGCGCGCTTCGCAACGCGCTCGCCGCCACCCCGACCTGCTTCTGCTAGGGTGACAGATGGCCTCACCTGTCACCCCCAGGCCTGCGCTTATGGAGGACGGAGGTCGTTCTGCGACCTCCGGCGCCTGAGTCGCCTGCGCTGCCTGACCCGTGCCCGGGCCTGGCGGGCCGGGAGAGTTCTAATCCTCTCCCGGTCCCGCTCCGCCGTCTCCTTCGCGAGCATAACTTGCTCGCAGAAGGAGACGGCAGAGTTCCACGCACTCTCGCTCCGCACGATAGCCGCAATCAGGCTATCGAGCGAGAGAACATTTTATTGGAGTAACCATGACTCATTGCTTGTTAGTAATACATAAAACTTATCCTATGTTAGTAGAGACAATTTACAATATTTTTATTTATGAACTCCATGAGAGACGGCGCTGCAGTGACCAATGTACCTGCAATCTAACCTCTCTGTGATCATGGCTAGTATGCTGTTAGAGCTAGCCCGCACCATGCGCACCAAAGATGCACACTGTTTTCGCATAATAGTGTGAAAGCAGTCCACTCGCGCCTCTGTGAACATCCCGGACGCACTACAGAAGCGGGGCAGCCCCAACAGCACCCTAAACGCATTGTTGTATTGGATACGGAGGGAGTTGTATGCTTTTCGAGTATATGTAGCCCACAGACTGCATGTAGAGAAAGACGTGCAGTAAGCTCTGAAGAGTGTGATCTTAACATTATTCGAACAATGTGTAAACCTGCGGCTCAACATGTTCGCTCTCACCGACAACGCCCTCCGTTCCCTTTCCAGATCCTCATCGTCTTTGAGGCTAGTTAGAGTTAAAATATGCCCTAGATATCCAAACTTAAATACCCTTTTCAATGGATGCCCATTTAAAAGTATCTGTGGCACATCCTTAGGGCCTCTACCCCCAGCCTCAAAAACCATGACCTCGCTTTTCTTAACATTGTACACCAGCCCATGTCTTTCGGCGTACTTCTCACATATGTGAACAAGCCTTCGCAGGCTACATGGCGACGCACTTAGCAGCGCCATGTCGTCTGCGTAGTTGACATTATTTAGACAAATGTCATCAATATGACATCCGACTTTTGCACTACTAAGTTCATCGATCAGCTCGTTAACGTACAGGTTAAAAAGCGTTGGTGAGGTCAAGCCCCCTTGTCTCACCCCGCATTCCAACCTATACGGATGCGATAAAGTACCTGCCCATCGGACATTATTAATCGTAATACCATACCAGTATTTAAGAGTGTTTATCATTGGAGTTAGTAATTCACATTTTTCCAACTTCTTCCATAAAATATCGTACGAAGCCAAGTCAAATGCCTTAGACAGGTCGAGAAAACAGCAATACACTGAAGTGTTCCGCTTTGCATAGTAGTTGACAGTATGCTTAAGACACAGTATAGCACTTTCCGTTGATAAGCCTGGACGAAAACCGAATTATTATCGTGGAGATGGATGTGTTTATTCGACTGCATATTAAGCATACCGTCAAACACCTTAGAAATAGCCGTGGCTAAAGATATAGGCCTATAGTTCGGAACATCGGCAAGATCGCCAGTTTTATTTTTGACTATAGGCACCACCACAGTGCGTAGCATATCCCCAGGCATATAGCGTCATACATAACGAATACAGCAGTGCCAACACTCTTGGCAGATGGAGTTCCCCATACCGGAGATGCTCTATACTGAGACCGTCATGGCCGGGAGATTTGCCCTTAGTCATAGAATTAATAAATTTGGTAATTTCTTGGGCTTCAAAATTAATCCCCGGATCCATGTCGGCCTCTCTACTGATCGTCAACCGAGAAGGTCCCAATGGTAATTTTACATAGAAATGATCCCTAAAGAGATCAGCAATATCTTGATTGATCTTTGGGATCTGTCACCCCACTGACGCTCACAGGCAGCCCCGACTTGTAACTCAGTCTGTTAGTATTTTTCCAGAAAGCGCGGAAATCATTGTTTGAATGATTTGTTGCCCAGCATATCTAATTTAATTTGTCGCTCGTGATCCTGACCATTTTAGACGAGATTTAAATATTTTTCGGGTCTCACACATATACCACATATACCACGCTGACCATGGTTTATAATTACGTAATTGCCACAACTTCTTTGCTTGCGGCTTGCTTGAGGCTAGTGCGTGTACACAAAAATGCTATGGCTACAACTAAATCTGTAGTTGAGATTACTCGTCTGAAGCCGTCACTCTACTCAAGTACGTCCGGTCTCGTGTGAAATGTCTTGCAGTGTTTCGCAGGATTCGGTGTTAGGGCCGCTTCTGAGGAACATCGGATACGATTGGGTCCTCCGCGGTGCCTTCTTGGATCATGTCGATATCACCTGCTACGCGGAAGACACGCTCGTGTGCGGGCGTGCTGTAAGGCGCACCGTGACGATCCACCAGAGTACTGCAGAGGCGCCAAAAGTCCGATCCCTCCTAGTTCAGGCGCAGTACACCGTGTGATTTTAGTCGGTTCGACCGTTAACCCCGGTGGGGTAACAGTAAATGGGGGTTACCACACACAAAAAAAGAGACGTAGTAAAGAAATGCCGACTAAAACTTGGAGTTATCACTATGACACATTTTGCACCGTCAACTAGTAGCTATTAATATTAAAATATGACCGATGGAGAGATGCGAAAGGCGCCGATGAGATGCTTGCCTAGGGCGCTCTTGATACTTAATCCGCCTTTGAGTAAAATGTAATTATTTAAATAATTAAATAAAGGTTTTAGTACCTATTGAATCGGTCACATTAGATACCGAATTTATTTATATATTATTGTATTATAAAACCACTCACTTAAAACAGGTAAGTATGTGTAATTAAGAAATTTAAGAAATAAGCCAAGAAATACCTATTACATGTACCTATAAGCCAATAATTTTAAAGGATATCCTCCTGCTTTCTGCCCTATTTTTACGATTTCGTACTCAAAGGGTAAAACAGGACCCTATTACTAAGACTTGGCTGTCCGTGTTTCTGTCTCTCTGTGAGGCTGTATCTCATGGATCGGGATAGTCAGTGATTTTCAAAGATGATGTATTTCTGTTGCCACTATAACAACAAATACTAAAAACAGAATAAATAAATAATTTAAGGGGGGCTCCCATACAACAAACGTGATTTTTTTGTTCGTTTTTGCTCGATATTGATAACGGTAACAGGCAGACACTGGAAACATTCACAAAATATTTAATTATATATTCACTTTAAAAAGAAATAATAACATTAAAATAAAACAAATATTTAAGGGAGGCTCCCATACAAACAACATTTTCTTTTTGGCGCTTTTGTAGATAATAGTACGGAACCCTTAGTGCGCTAGTCCGACTGGACTTGGCCTGTTTTTTAATCTTATTCGAATCCAGTACAATGTGAAAGTTTGCAAAAAGCTTGGCTAGATTATTTTATGAATAACATTACATTACTAACGGCATCTAGCGAGCAAAATGTACATGACTTTTGCTAGTGACATCTGTTGATTCAAAACGGAATGTTTTGTAGTGACATCTATTAATGGTATTAAGCAACCGACTTTGGTTTATAAACAAAATTAAATGCTGTGGTGCAGATTACGTACTTCGATTGAACTACCAAGCTTTGAACAATTTGAACGCATGGCGTTCGGATAACGTCAGAGTACGTAATTTACACACCAGAAATTTTCTTAATTTTTACTCATCTATAGTCTAAACAATCTAAGGCTGAAATTTATAAAGCGTACTTAGACTTTGCTCAGACTTACCTCACGAGTTAAGTGTGCGTTGAAATTTATAGTCATAATGCTTAGCTCAAGCTGAGCAAATGCTTAGCATAGTCTAAGTCACCAAAATCCATGACTTAGCGATTACTTACGATTAATTTGCCAGAGTCAATGTGAAAAGATGGTTCGATTGTCCAGGAAGAAAAGCCGTAATCTAGTTCGAAAGCGTTGTAACAGAAGTCCGTAAGGGTGTGCCAGGGTCAAGATAAAAAGTTAATACAAGAAATTGATATATTTGCGAATGAACTCGAGACGAGACAACCTCAAATATTGTTATGACATTTGACAAGTCAAATATAAGTACGTTTTGTTTTACTTGTACATGTGTTATTTTTGCCTTTTATCACTTAAAATCAATGAAAACTAAAGGTGTTAATTGATTGAAATACAATAATATGATAAAATTTATAAGATTACTAATATTTTAGGTTATTACAGCTTTTTTAAAAATAATATATTTTTGAAATACCAAGAATTTAAATTAATATGCTATGCAAATCGAAACGTTTAAAAATTTTTCCTGAGCTCTTGCTTAGCATACACTCAGTAAATTCTTAGCCCAAGAGGACTATAAATTCGAATGCTAAGATTACACTGAGCAGGAACTTAGGTAAGTTTAGCGTAAGCAAAGTCTGAGCAAAGTCTAAGGCTGAAATTTATAAAGCGTACTTTGACTTTGCTCAGACAGACAGACAGACATTCGAATTTATAGTCCTCTTGGGCTAAGAATTTACTGAGTGTATGCTAAGCAAGAGCTCAGGAAAAAATTTTAAACGTTTCGATTTGCATAGCATATTAATTTAAATTCTTGGTATTTCAAAAATATATTATTTTTAAAATAGCTGTTATAACCTAAAATATTAGTAATCTTATAAATTTTATCATATTATTGTATTTCAATCAATTAACACCTTTAGTTTTCATTGATTTTAAGTGATAAAAGGCAAAAATAACACATGTACAAGTAAAACAAAACGTACGTATATTTGACTTGTCAAATGTCATAACAATATTTGAGGTTGTCTCGTCTCGAGTTCATTCGCAAATATATCAATTTCTTGTATTAACTTTTTATCTTGACCCTGGCACACCCTTACGGACTTCTGTTACAACGCTTTCGAACTAGATTACGGCTTTTCTTCCTGGACAATCGAACCATCTTTTCACATTGACTCTGGCATATTAATCGTAAGTAATCGCTAAGTCATGGGTTTTGGTGACTTAGACTATGCTAAGCATTTGCTCAGCTTGAGCTAAGCATTATGACTATAAATTTCAACGCACACTTAACTCGTGAGGTAAGTCTGAGCAAAGTCTAAGTACGCTTTATAAATTTCAGCCTAAGTACTAGAGTTGTGTAGGTCCTGAGTGAGTGATATAAAAGATATATATCATTCACGACGATAAAATCTATCACTCACTCACACTTGCTCCGAATATATCAGTAACTCACTACTAGCTCACTAGATCTCTAGATCACTAGCTCAACGACGCTGATCTTTGTTTCATGAGCGAGTGAGACTAAAGATAAATGAGTGAGTTAGATGATGGTTGAGTTCACGCAAGTTTCTTTATGCAAAATTTTTTTACTTACTTAAGAATTAAGCCTGACAAGTACAAGGAAAATCAAATTATGTATGATTTCTATTATACAACCTAAAAAAAAGTACAAGAAATAATTTCTTATTTTTAATTATTATATAAAAGGGTGTTAATAATTATGTTACCTTATCAAAATGAACAATTTTGTATTTAAAAAAAACTGAAATGAAACTGAAACGTTTCAAAAACTGAATTTAGGTTTATAAGAAAATAAAGAAAGATTTGTAAGGCGAGAGAGGTTTAAAGTGAGTGATATACGAGTATACTGAGCTAAACGATCTAGATGAAGAAATGAATTAATTGAGAGACCAATCAATTGAATCGGATCAATGAGCTAGTGAGCTAAAGGAGTTAGTGAGCTAAATGAGCTAGTGAGCTAGATGAGTGATATATATCTTTAGAGCGAAATGATATGTATCAATCTTTTCAGCTTAGTGATACATTTTACGCATCACTACTAAGTACGCTTTATAAATTTCAGCCTAAGAATTGCATTTTGACAGGTGAAACTGACGTTCTGAAACTAGACTAAGTAAGTGAGAACCAAGTTAAAAAATATATATATTAGTAAAAAAAATTACTACTGAGTTGAATGAATGTAATGGGACATATTTTAGTTAAAATATCTACAAATAATTTAAACAATTGCGTAATTCTTTATTTCTGCTAGATGTCCTAAAACAGTTACATTCTATGATTTTTTATTTTTTATTTTAGTGTTGTTACATTTCAATTGTTGTGGAGGAAAAGATTAATCGATTTAATTTACAAATCGTATATTATCAACGGACCTTGATTAGCAAATAGAGTTCGTCTTCATTTTAATTAAATAGTTATTTATTATTCATTAATTCATTATTTTCGTGTTAATTTTATGATTTTCGTATAATTAAACCAAAGTGAACAAATAAATTCATATTTATTTTTAAGAATTAATTAAATATTTAAGCACTAGAGTTTATAATTGTAAACCAAAACACCTATAAGTGTGTACAGAAAATAAAATAAATCGGATTTTTTTATTTCAAAATTTACTTTTTATTTGCTCGTACATCAATAATACACACACATAAAAAAAAGAAAACGTTTGTCGTACATATGACAATTCGTTGCTTACTTCAATGCAGTTTCTCGCGATGCGTCAGACCAACTGTGCACTCCTCTCGTATTCCCTTTTATTTTGTGGCCCGGCTTCATTTTTTGACTGAGGCTGCTGTGCGTTGACCTTGGCTTATTATTTTGGACTTTGATTGCACGTGTGATTTATTACAGCATGTCGAAAAGAGGACTTACGTTTCATTCCCAGGCACGGGAAATGATTTGTAAGCTACACGAGTATTTTGAAAAGGAATCCCCAAATGCCAGACCGTTGTTACCAGTTATAGAAGTGAAAAATCATGTCGCACAAGCTTTGGGAGTTGGTGTACATACTGTGGGACAAGTTTTGAAAGTTTGTTCTGAGGGATATGCAGGAGGTTTTGTTGAAAATTGTTTATTGGCATTCGAGTCAAAGAGCACAAAATAATACCACGAAGAGATGACTCAGACAAATTTAAAATGTGGTTCTCAAATCTTTTTCAATTTCGGTACAGATCGAAATTGAAAAATAAAACCGAGCATGGAGCATGGCTACAGAGGTACGGAGTCCAAGAAGATATGACTCTTTTAAAAGAGGAACTAGGGAGATTTGTAGAAGAACACAAACCAAGGACACCGAGGTACGGCATCGACGAATTAGTACGGGAGTATTTTCACGAAGTAATAAGGACATCACCATACCACTGCCAGTATAATGATATAGAACTGTTTTGGGCTCAAGTCAAAGGTTATTTCCTATTCTTACATGATCTTGATTTCAATGCATAAAAAGTATAAAGTATATAAAACTTAATTAATAATTAAAAAATAATTATGGTAGACTTAGCTAATTGTTATGTTTATTTTGTTATTCTTCTTTTTTTGTTATTATTGTTAATTTAAAATAATCTTTTTAGGATACGCTGCGAGACACACAGTCCCACCATTCACTACAAAAAAAAATGAAGAGCCTTCTAACAGAAGCATATAACCATGTTACGAAAGGTGACTGGGAGAAGGTGGTTTCTATAACTAAATAATAGCAGAAGACTTCAAAACAGTCATTCGTATCGACAACTTACGAGATGGCGAATTTTTGTTTTGACTCTGTCAATAAAGACAACAGTTCAGAAAGTGAATAAATATACTTAATATCCGTTTCATGTTTTCATTATTTATTTTATACAAATATTCGATCTTGATATCTTGTTTGTATTCTTAGCTGTATTTGTGGTATAAAACATATATGTGGGACATAATTCTTAATTAAAAAAAGAGACTGATTAGCCACAAGTATTACAATTTAGAAACGATTAACGATGTTTCATACTTCTTCATGATCGTGAATTCATTGGAATCGATTATTATCACTATGGCCTTGTAGACACCCAACCCTAAACGTCAACTGTCAAAATGCGCCTTTTAAATTTGGACTAATACATTGCTTAATTATTATATTTTACAATAGAAACACCCGGAATAATGCAAATACATATATTGCATATTCAGAGCTCTAGCGAGGCAGTCGATTAAATGCATTACCACCTGCGGCATAGACATTACGAAAAGCTATTTAAACCTGCACTTTAAAAATGTTTGTCAATATAATAATGATTCAAGTTGTAAAATGAACTGTATTTTTGAAGAGACAAACCATGGACAAAATACGTTTTAACTTGGAACGTTTTAGCAATAGAGGACAATAGACTCAGTTTAATTATTATTTTTGATTTACTATAATAATATTATGGAGTGTGCAGGTAAGGAGAACCGTCTCTGTGGATGAAAGTATCCGTCAAAATGCATTGAATTGGGGGCGCTACAGTTGCATCAGGATACATTTTTAAAGAAAGCGCCAGAAGTTGTTTGTTAGAGTAGGTTATAGAAATAAACATAGAAAGAAGAACATTGTGTATATTTTTTTTTTGCCTCAAATAACAATCAAACAGTGTACTAGACTTCATAGATGGCGTAGTGGTTTAAGCGGTCGCCACGCCGCTCACTACTACGTTAAAGTGTTCCGGGTCCGAACCCCATATGGGACGACACTTTGAGTGATCCACAAATTGTTGCCCTGAGTTGGGTTGTTCTCTGTGTCCGTTTTATGTATGTTTGTAAAGTCCCCCGCGACACAGAATATATTCCTAATGCGGGAGTAGTTAAAGAAAAAACAAAAAAAAGAGCTTTACAAACAGTGGATAAATATGTAACAACTTTCAAACAGTAAAAGTATTTTTAAATATTTTATGTCAGCAAACTTCACTCATTCCAGAACTGCTATGTTCATTACATGAACAAAACAGTTCTGGAATGAGTGAAGTTTGGAGTGAAGTGAAGTAATTATACTTATATATGTATTCCAGCCAAGAGTGGTGCAAAAAATATAATCGAATATTAACAGGTACTTACTCTAAAACTTACTTTTTGAAGTGTAATTTTAAAGTATTTTCTTTAAACAATAATGTGAAGCAATGTGAAGTACAAAAAAAATACACATAGTACCTCTCTCTCTCTCATAAGAAAATATTACAGAGCTGAGAAAGAAGTTGTTTTATAAATATTCAATCACTAATTTTCATAGACATCTTTTCAAGCTTCTGAAGATTAATGATAACACCTTTAACTGGCAACATAAGCCAATGTTGTCAATGTCAAAAGTCTTAGTGTCAAATATTGTTGTCTATTCCTTTTCCTGTTAAATTGTCTCCTGAGAGGTTGGTTTCGCGTTTATAAAAATCTATTTTAATCTTGAAAACTATGAACTTTTGAATTAAATCCATACAAAGTGTATATTCTAACAGTGTTTTCTTGTTGTTCATGTGTTTATTTCACCAAATAAAGATGCCGGAATGTAACGAAATGATAACCTTTGTTGCCAAGAAATTAAGACTAGTCGCTCTGTGTTTCAGAAACAAAAATGGGTCGTTACTCTCGGGAACCTGATAATCCAGCAAAGTCATGCAAAGCGCGTGGCTCAAATCTTCGTGTTCATTTCAAGGTAATTACATACTAATATTTGTATACAAGTAACCTCCACATGGGCCGTCAGTTTTCATGTTATCGGTATATTAGGTTTTAATAAGTATGTATGGTATATTAAACTTATAACTCGGCGAGTTGGTATACTAATTCTTTGTCCTGGTTAGTCTTACTTTACTGTGATTTACGTTTGTCTTTCTATTTGCTTATGTGGTAGGTATATATGTACATGTCACTAGCAGCATATCTATACAAATAAATAAAATTAAAGTGTCTGTTTGCAATGTCTAAATAATAGATTTTTTCATGCTCGGACGGTTATTTGCACGATGCCTATAAACCATTATTTTTTTGTCACTGCCTGTTTGTTCCGGGTAGTCTTCTAAACGGACCGATATACCGATTTTGATAATAAATTACTACCAGGTAGTTGTCTATATAAGGAGTAACTTAGGCTATTTTTTATCTCAGAAAAATCCTATAAAATTTGCCTGGAACCGGAATTGAACCCACTAAGGCAGCATTGTTCTAATTACATGTGAACAAAGTCACAGGTACCAGCTAGTAAGCTGTACCCTGCCATGCTTCTCTGTTGCACATTGTGGTTGCATTGATGTGAAATAAAACCAACGCTAAATATATATATAAATTTTTAATCAGAAGTTTTGGCTTTTTCATTGTTATTTCTGTTAATTTCTCTCCCTCTGCCTTTACATGATGGTGTCTGGCTTCTAGCATCTTTGGTCCAAGTCCAGTACTTGCCATCTTTTCAATCTCATTGTTGGTGTGAATTAGATCTCTAGTCACTTTGTTTATGTAATTTTGCAGTTGCTCCTTGTATTTAGCACAATATCTGTTTACTTCCTGCTTGACTGTAGACTACAAGAACTCATGCATCTTTGAATAAAAATAACAACAATCTTTGAAGCCGTTTATACATCATGTCAAAATTGCCAAATTTGAGCTCAATTGGTGCAGAACTTTTTTGAGTTTTTGAAGTGTACATTTGGTCATGATTGTAGAATAATGTTGGTTTGAAAAACAAAACAAAATTCAGTTTTTACCATATTTGGATAGTACATTGTTATGAATATATTATTATATATTGTTATCTTTTTTATGTAGTAAATAGATTTACTACCTACAAAAGATTTTAAATTATTCAGTGTATGTGTGATAGGCGGTCAAAGTAAAATGAAGCATGTGATTTTTCTAGAAAATTGTAAAAGTATTTGTTGTTATTTTTATTGCATTTAAAAAAAAAAAACCTATTTTTCACTTGAAAAAAAAAGTAAAAAAAGTTATGTTTAAAAAGTACGTACACGAGTAAGTACACGACTCGGGTTGGTTGTTTACGGACACTTGTTAAAACAGGGTATTATTGTTGAAAACTCATTAATGTCTAAATGTCTTTTTCTTAATATGTATTAGTTTCTGTTAATGTTAAAATAACATATTAAGGACTGTTAAATAATTTCAAATTGGAATACGGTCTAATTAAATGTCTAGTAAATTTTAAATTTTGCCTGTCTTTTCAGAACACTTATGAAACAGCAATGGCTATCAGGAAACTACCCCTGCGCCGTGCTGTCCGTTACTTAAAAAATGTGACTGAACAGAAGGAATGCATTCCTTTCCGCCGTTTCAACGGTGGTGTTGGTCGTTGCGCACAGGCCAAACAGTTTGGCACTACACAGGGACGTTGGCCCAAGAAATCTGCAGAATTCCTACTTCAGTTGCTCAGGAACGCTGAGTCTAATGCTGACTACAAAGGCTTGGATGTTGACAGGCTTGTCATTGACCACATTCAGGTGAGGCAATTATTCATTATCAATTTTTACAGTTCTACAAGGATATTGTGTAGTACTTGTTAGTAGGATATCACTGGTGTTGACTATCACCAGTGTTGACAGTGAAAATATATAATAACACACATGAAATGAAATGGAACCCTTAGATACAAAAAATGATTGTGTTTTAATTATTAATAATAATATTTTACACTTCTTACACAGCCGTCTGATCCCAAACTAGGCAGAGCCTGTACTATGGTGCCCAACCTGTTGATATATTTTTTAAAACATACTTAGTAAAGATAAGTACAACCAGACACAGAACAAATGACCACCATGCTCATCACACAAGTATCTGACTTAGGTTATAAATAAATATTTTATTTATTTTATTCCATTAAAACAACTATCACTTGGGATAAACCTGTAATAGGTTTATCCCAATGTGATAATGTTATACCTTCTACTTATTAAAATATACATACCATATATATCCATCTAGTTATAAATAAATTAAAACTTGATGAAATCTAAGAGCAATTGTAGTGTACCATATTAATATATAAATATATATAGTATTTTTTTAAGTTTATTGGAAGTTGGTCTGACCGTAATCAAAGTGAAATCTGGTGTCAAACACCTCAATATTTGTGATATAATGAACTCTCTCCTGGTAAAATGTTATGGTTCTTATGTAAAAGCCAAAATTTAACATAATCAGCTCATTTCTTTTTTTTTTGTTGTGGTATAGATGTTTTTTATTTCACCTGTTGGAATATAATTAAGATGAACATGCAATATGCCTATCTAAGAGAAAACTATTCATTCCATGTTGTTTTTCTATGATATTATTAGTATTTATTTAATACTTGATGCAGAAATAAAAATTGCACTGTGACAGACATAATTTCATGGGCATTTTCTCCCTTAGGGTGGTCCACAAAATGAGTGTTTACGTGAACTGGAAATAAATAAAATATAATAATTGAGAAGTTGTTAAGAAATAAAGAGACATATATACCAATACTCCAATACACATACAAAGATACTTACCAAATTACATACAGAATTATTTGCATTCATTCATTTCATTTAAATACATTTTGTATACTTTAAAGGTAAACAAATAACATTATAAGCTTTTTAGATTGTAATGTCTTCACTTCAAATCTTTTTTATCTAAGTAAAACTCTTTCATAATTAAAATAATTTTCTTGTATGTATAATATGTATGTACATTTTTACAATAAAAAAGTAAAAAAGTATTTTATGAGTCAATTTAGCTTTCAGTAAAGTAAGTACAAGCTCTGTTTAGTTTGAAACTAGATGGGGTTGTGTGTAAGTTGTCATAAATATTATTTTTATTATCTTCTCATCTACTTATTATATTTACTATAATATATTAATTATCTTATATTATTATCTCGTCATCAATTAAAGTATTGTATGTTATGTGAATCTGCTCTTAAAAGCTTCCACATTTATATTTATAAGATTTATGTAACTATTTTCTTTAGTAACATACCATCCATAAAAGAAAAACAAATAGTTACTGTTTGATCATCACCATTGTGTTATTTTTTTTCCTGATTAATATATTATCCATCCAAAGATGTTTTTAACACGAGTCGGACATCGTTTGGTCATATACATACACACAAATCTAATTATAATGGGGGTGTATTGAAAGAAAAGTGGTTTCTCTGTGAAAGATGAGATCTTGTATTCATTGCCTTTTGCTTGTCAGTGTAAATGCCAAATCTTTTACACTGTTTTCTAAAGGCACACAATAAAAGTGGATATGTTATGGATTTTTTTTTGTGTAGAAAAATCTTGGAACTAGCCGCTGACATTAATAATAAACGGGAGTAATAGTTCTGTGTTAACAGTATAATATAATAACTTCAGACATCTCACAAACAGCTGTCTGATCCCAAACTAGGCAGAGCCTTTGCCCAATATTAGTTTGTTGGAACAAAGTTCCTTATCGCACTGTTACGAGTCTCGGGGAACTTGTCTTTTTAAAAAGAAATAAAATACTAAATAGGGTTAAGACAACCGTCTGGCTTGGATATCGGGATGAGACTGGTCATGAGTGGACGGGTCGTTCGGCTACTGATGGAGAAATGCTGAGTGTGCAGAGTAGAAGTGTGGGGTGTGCAGGAATGCTTACATAAGGCATCTCTAACACCTCCCTGGGGTAAACTAAACATCGGGGTAGAAATTTCGATGTTTAGGGAGAGAGAAAGGGTAGAAGAGGAATCAAGAAGAGATGGAGAGTGTATGTTTACACATTTCTCCTAATACTAGGAGATGGTAAGTTTTCCGGTTCCGGGAGATGCTTGGTGATCTTTAACGGGATTACCGTGTCGGGATTTGGAGTTGGTTCTGGAGGTGAGTCGGCTGGAGTTGGTTTGGAAAATATAGAAAAGTGACGGGAAAGACGGTTGTGCGATTTAATGTATAAAAACAGTTTAACACTACAAAAAATAGAAATCATACAAATACTTAAAATAATTAAGATTGAGTAATGAGTCTCATATTTTATTATCTGGTGTTGATTTAGAATAGAATCTGTTTCATCAGACAAAGATTTTAATTTTAGTTTTGCTTCTGATGTAAAAACGTCAAGGTCGATGTTGTGTAATTTGAGAGGAGGCTCATCACTCATCAAGTTCCTAAACTTATCTAGGTTACAACAGGAGTCGTTGATTATACTGAAGTCTGAATGCGCTACAGTAACATTAATTTTAAAATTATTAAATTTAGGTATTAATTTTGTATTTTTACAGTATCCGATACAATTATTCGGAATAGTTAAAATTCCTGTACCAATAATATTAATATCGTTAATTTTGCGATTTGGGCATTCTATATACAGTTTACTACTTTGGGATTGTATGTAAATCCAATTATTATTGTAAAGTGGTTTCCATAAATCTATGTGTCCGTGAAGGAAATCAGTTTGACACTGCGATGGTAAAACTCTTATCACATTTGACAACAATTCACTTTCACAGCTCGATTTCGCACTCGTCGGGAACACGGTCAATACGTCACAGATATACTCGCGCTGGCTTATCGGTATGCATTCCTTTAGTGAATCAAGGTTACAATATTCAGATTTATCCTTGGTCATTGCTATGTATTTACTACTAGGAATTATGAAACTAAAAGATTGGGGGTCTACATTACTATGTGGGGTCGGTAGTGCAATACTATGGTACAAACTGTATTCCTTAGGGGATACTAAAGGTATTCTTAAAACAAAAACAATCCTGTCATTTAAACTATAACATACTACACTAGATATATTCATTAGACTATGAATATTACTTAACGCTAAGCTTACAGGTAACTTAATATCTACAGGTAAGTACCGATAGTTATCGACAATCTCTTGGTATAATTGCGAGGGCGTTATAATAATCGGGTGCAGGATGTTTTGACTACACAACAAGACAGCAGTAGTTATGTCTTCTAACCGAAATGATAAGGTGAGTATGGATGCTTCTAAACTGTTCATGATTGAATTTATTTTTGATTTAATGTTTAATTCGTTAGAAATTAATGATATGTTTTGCAATTTTGAAGAGAAATTGTCGATAGCTAGGTTAAGGCTGGCTTCATTAATTTTAATCTCGTGTAACGTGTTATTAATTTTTGATAAAATAGTAGAAGTAACTAAGATGTTTTCTTTCATTAATGAACTCAGCCTTTTTTCGTTATCTTGAATATTTTGAATGGCGTTGTCATATTTGACAGCGTCGTTCTCATCTAGGGTCCCAAATATAGTTTTAGACAGAGTGCCAATACCTCCTATCCATGCCCCTCGTTTGAACCTTTTGTTAACTAAATGGGATATAGAGGAATACTCGGAAGTAATGTCGCGATACCTTACTGTAAGTGGTTCTAATATATTGTAACATTCTAAATTGTTTGAGGTTTCTATTGCAATTTGGTTGCAGATAAGGCGTATTGTCCCTAGTATCGAATTTATATTTTTGATGTGAGGTTCAATATAGGAGATGTCTAATGGTGTCACTATATCCAAGTGGCTCACGCGAATTTTGAGTTCGCCAATTGGGTCAAAGTATATACCTGAGCTCGTGTTGATTTGTTGGACGAACTCTGCGTGACCTTGGGCAAGCACGCTGTAACGAAAAGAGACATCTAGATGATTCTATAGATATTATATTTATATTGGAATAGGTTTAGTTTTGTGCTATGTTTCTCATATTATTAATGTTTATACCTACTTTATAATAATAATAATTAAGGAAAAATGTAATGAAATATAAATGAAACGTATTTAACTACTGAATTAATGTAAATTTAATTTTAGTCTACCGTTTGGACTTCTTCCTGAGCGTCTTCTTGGACGTTCACGTGTCTCACTTCATCGAAGTGGTGTTTCACGTGTCGTCTATTTATAAGTAATGTTAATGTGTGGTTGTTGTGAACTTTAATGATCTTGTAAGGGCCTTTCCACACAGGTGATAAGGCTTTACGTAACCGGAGATGGTTTTTTAGGAGAACGTATTCACCGATTTTATACGTCACCTGGCGAGTACGGGAGTCATAATAAGTTTTAGAGTTCGTTTTGGATTGTATGATAAATTGTTTAGCCCGATCACGAGTATGTTTCATTCGATGTTGCAACATCTTTACATACTCGGGGTAGGTAGTAGTGGATGTGTCGTTATAGACAGAGTCAGGGATATTGGATTTGTGTCCGAATACTAATTCGTATGGTGAGTAGTGCGTAGTCGAATGTATTGCGGTATTGTATGCTAACATAGCTGTATAGACATATCGGGGCCAATTATCTTGGTTCTCGTTGGTATAAGATCTTAGATATTCTTTAAGGGTTGAGTGCGATCTCTCTAAGGCGCCTTGAGTTTGCGGATGATAGGGGCTGGACCATAACTGCTTTATTTTGAGGAACTCACATGTTTTCTTAAATAACTCGGCCGTGAAATTAGTACCTTGATCGGTGAGTATATGTTTCGGGATTC